AATCGATAACGTTTTAACCGGACGGCTGTTGGTTTCCTCGCCGCGGGAAAACGCGACGCGTTCTGTTCGACTGGAAAATTTAATCCCGCGCGAAAAGTAAAAGGGCGAAGGGTCGAACGGGTACGATTTATCTCATACTCGAATTTTAGTTATAAGTTAACAATGGCATGTACGAGAATTTGTACCCGAATCTCCTCGCACGTTATAAAATTCTATATTGTTGTTTAATACAGGCGTCACAGTTATGGCATTAAAGTCGCACTAATTATTTCGATTGAATCGGAAGTATCCGTAAATGCAGGGAACGCGATTCAACGTGAAATTTCATTCGGGGATTATAAAATTCAATATTTGTCTTTGGAGAACGAAAATGATGAAATAATGTACACGCGAGAACGAACTGGAGATCGTGGAGAGGAAAACAATGAGGGAAAACACGGAGGGAAGTATACTATCGATCTGAATCAATAAACCCGACTTTTCATTCCGATCGTACTTCCCGGCACATTTACTCGGCGAAACTTACAAAACAGACGTACCGGAGGAAAAAAAATTTAGAACAACGAGACCACCCCATCGCGCAGCTTGCGATAAGTACCAAAGACGTGCTCCGATTGCAAAGAGACAACAATGCCGGGGTGAAAAACATGGAGAAGGTGTTTAGAACAAAAACTATTCAGACGAACGTTTCGAATGGTTCTAAATTTTGCACTGGTAATAAAAATTAGTTACGAACGGAATGTTTTGTTTCTGAAGTCATAAATGCTTTATTTCATGTTCTATTATTATGAGTATTATGGAAAATTCGATAATGTGCTGTATAGATCTACAGATATTAGGATTCACTATTTTTTATGCAAAATGATGAAATTATTCTACAGGATTTATGAAATTAAATTATGAAATTTCTTTAAAAATGTACAGTTATCTACAAGTTGGATCAGTATGTATAATGCATGGAATTTATTCAAAGAAAGTATAATTTCGTATGAAGTATAATTTAAATGCTGAAAATATGTAACTTTGATGAGATAATGGGTACGTACGGAATGATTCATAAAGTTGATCTAGTTTCAAGAATAATTGCAAACGCTTGATCGTTCATCCGTGAGACGTGGGTGGATCGTCTCGACTCTCTTCACCCGATAATCGCCCGGTTAAAAACGTATTATTCCTGCGGTATAATTTCCGAGGCTGGCCCCCGGAGCGTTCAATCGGGAAGTCGAGGAGAAAAGTGTAGCCAGGAAAGAAAAACCAGGCCGAAAGTGAGTCGGTCGGATTTCCAATATTCTCCGATCGGAGTTAATATTTGAACGACGGTTTTTAATGAAAAATATTAAATGTACAAGTAAATTAACAAACGAGAGATTTACACGTTTCACATTAATCATATATAAATATATTCTATTTTTAATTAAATAAGAAAT